CTAAATGACACTATAAAGAAAGAAATCTAAACACATAGCAGACAACATTTCTGGGCTACTCAAAATTCAATGTCATTTTTTTAAAAAGGAGGAGAAATGTTCTAGACCAGTGGCTCTCTAACCCTGGTTGGTATCACAATCACCTGGAGAAATAATATAAAAACACAGAGGCCCAGGCTTATAAGATAGGGTTACACTTCTGTAGTTTTACTAAGTTCCACAGGTGATTCTGATACCCACTATAATTTGAAAGCATACATTCATATGGTTTCTAGGCTACAATACACTAAAGAGAGAGAACCAAATGCAATGTAGAATCTGCAATGGATTCTCGTTAGAAAATGAATAGCTGTAAAAGATGGTTTGCAGGCCAATGAAGAAATCTAAAGATAGAATGATATTACAGAATTATGAATCTTAAGGGTAATTATGGTACTATGGCTATATGATATTGTCTTTATGTTTGGGTAATACACATGCTGATGTAATAAGGGTTAAAGTGTGATGATGTCTAAAATTTATTCTCCATGGTACAACAAATATACAAAAAAATAAACATTAACAATTTTGAATCTAAGTGGGGGTATATGGTGTATATTTTACTATCTTTCAAAATCTGCAACAATTGTCAGCTAGGTTCACCATCTTTTATGGGCAGGATTTGTGGTATCCCAAAACAATCACACTAGTAACATCAAAAAACACTGGTCATAGATCACCATAACAGATATAACAATGAAAAAGTTTGAAATATTATGAAAACTACTAAAGTGTGACACAAAGACACAAGATGTGCACATGCTGTTTGGAAAATGGTGCTGATTGATTTATTCACTGTAGGGTTCCTGCAAACCTTCAATGTGTATAAAACACAGTAACTACAATGAACAATTAAGCAAGGTATGCCTGAATCCAGTAAAACACTTCATGGGCAGTAAACTGTGAACATGGCAGGTACTCTACATTCCACACGTCAATAACTTTCTCACCAAAATTATCTTCTCTGAACTCTAAGGCATTTAGTGTGGATATAAAACAGCCCACATTCTTAAGCTAAAAAGATTTCTCAGCAGTATGAATACTCTGATGTTGAGCAAATCCCAGGTCATGACGAAAGTTCTTCACACATTCTTTTATGTTCACAGTATTTCTCATTAATGTGAATTTCCTGGTGTTGAGTAAATTTTTCATACACAGTGGAGGCTTGTCCACACTCCTTATATTCACAAAACTTCTATTATGAATTTTCTGATGTCGAGTAAGCTGACCATTCACAGTAAAGGCTTGTCCACATTCTTTACATTCATAGGGTTTCACACCAGTATGAATTCTGTGATGTGCAGAAAGGACTGAACTAACTCTAAAGGTCTTCCCACATCCTTTACATTCACATTCACAGGGCTGCTCACCAGTATGAATTTTAACATGTTGAACAACGCTCGAGCTACAACTAAAGGTCTTTCCACATTCTTTACATTCATAGGGTTCATACTAGTATAAATTCTTTGATATGCAGTAAAGACTGAGCAAAATCTAAGTTTTCCCACATTCCTTACATTCACAAGGTTTCTCAGCAATATGGATTCTTAGATGTACAGTAAGTTCATAATTACTACTAAAGCCCTTTTCACATTCCTTACATTCACAGGGTTTCTCATCAGTATGAATTTTAACATGTTGAACAAGATTTGAACTATGACTAAAGACTTTCCCATATTCTTCACATTGAAATGCCTTCTTACCAGTATGAATTCTCTGATGTATTCTAAGGTTTCTACCACCAGTAAAGCATTTCCTACATTCTTGACATTCATAAGGGTTCTCACCAGTATGAATTCCATAATGTCCAAGAAATTGATAATAATATCAAAAGGTCTTCCCACATTCCTTACATTCAAAGGCTTTCACCCTAGTATGAATTTTCTGATGTTCAGTAAGTTTGTACTGATATCTGAAGGTTGTCCCATATTCCTTACATTCAAAGAGTTTCTCACTTGTATGAGTTTTTGATGCCAAGAAAGTTGTAGGTGAAGTCTAAAAGCCTTCCCACACTCCTTACATTCATAGGGTTTCTCATCAGTATGAATACTCTGAGGTTGAACAAGGTTTGAGCCACAATTGAAGGCCTTCTCACACTCCTCACATTTAAATGGCTTCTCACCAGTATGAATGATCTGATGTTGAGCAAGCTGTGTCGGAAGACTAAAGGCCTTTCCACATTCTTTACATTCAAAAGGTTTCTCACCAGTATGAATTCGGCAATGTTCAATAAGCTGGTAATGATATCTAAAGGTCTTCTGACACTTCTTACATACAAAGGGTTTCTCACTGGAATGAATTTTCTGATGCTGAATAAGGTTTGAACCACGATTAAAGCCTTTCCCACACTCCTTACATTCATATGGTTTTACACCAGCATGAATACTCTGATGTTGAACAAGGTTCGAGACACGATTAAAGGACTTCCCACATTCCTTACATTCAAATGGCTTCCCACCTGAGTGAATTTTCTTATGGCAATTAAGCTGGATGGGAAGACTGAAGGCCTTGCCACAGTCCTTACATTCAAAGGGTTTCTCACGAGTATGCAATTTCTGATGTCGAATAAGGTGCATATGAAGTCGAAAGGCTTTCCCACATTTCTTACACTCAAAGGGTTTCTTTCCGGTATGAATACTTCGATGTTGATTAAGATTTGAACCACGACGAAAGAATTTCCCACATTCCTTACATTCAAAGGGTTTCTCGCCTGTATGAGTTTTCTGATGCTGAGAAAGTTGTAGGTGAAGTCTAAAAGCCTTCCCACACTCCTTACATTTATAGGGCTTCACACCAGTGTGAATACTCTGATGTTGAAGAAGGTTTGAGCCACGATTGAAGGCCTTCCCACAGTCTTTACATTCAAATGGTTTCTCACCAGTATGAATGTTCTTATGTCGAGCAAGCTGTGTCAGAAGACTAAAGGCCTTTCCACATTCTTTACATTCAAAGGGCTTCCCACCAGTATGAATTTGGCAATGTTGAATAAGTTGGTAATGATATCTAAAGGCCATCTCACATTCCCTACATACAAAGGGTTTCTCATTGGAAT